CTTGTCGCGGGGGCACAGTGTACGTGCTCATTAATAATAAGAATATCATGTGTCGCATTTTCTGCGCATCTAATTGTCGAATGCATACGTTTGCAGAATATTAGAGTTTGCAGCTGTGACTAAAAAATCACGCTGCGAAATGCGCTGGCGGTGCGGGCGGCGCGGACGGCGCGGGCGGCGCGGAAACCGCCGCAAAATCCGCCGCGGAAACCGCCGCGAAAACCGCTGCGAAAACCGCCGCGAAAACCGCCGCGGAAACCGCCGCGAAAACCGCCGCAGATCGGTAAAATGATCTATCGAAAGCAGATAGAAAAAATTATATCGGTAATTACCGATCATCGATATTATGTAGTATTTTAAAGATAGGTATAAAGATGACAGTAAAAATTATGTAAAGAATATATATGTTGGTAAAAAATTAAATGTTGGTATATAATATCGGTAATAAATTAACAATCGTTGGTATTATCGGTAATTATATGTTGGTAAAAATTATATGTTGGTAAAAAATTAAATGTTATAATATCGGTAAAAATTACCGACCGCCGGTAACATCGGTATGCCCCCCCATTACCGACCGATGATAACCCCCTCCCCCGCGGTGACGTCATACCCCCCCCGTGACGCCATACCCCCTGACGTCATACCCCCCCCCCCGCGGTGACGTCATACTCCCCGCGGTGACGTCATACCCCCTCGCCCGCGGTACCCTCCGCCCCTCACTCCCCCTCGGAGGACCTGAGTTAGAACCCCTATATAATACCTACTAATAAGTTACTATTAATTTCTTTTCTACCTCCATTCTTTGGTTGTGTTGTTTTCAGTTTGTAATATTGCAGCTTTACGACTTGTATTATTTAAGGATAAAATAGAAAACTCCAAATATTATATACGAGGTGTGGCTATTAAATAACAAGACTGACGCTGTAAAACATTTTATTTTGATTTCATACATTTTTACTTATTATCACCTTCAATATACACCCCTCCTCTATCCCTACAACGCTCCATGCGAATCTTCCATTGTTCGAAGCAGTGCTGGAAGTCTTCTTCTGTCAGCTCCTTCAGGACGCGTGCCGCTTTCTCTTTCACAGCTTCAACGAACTCAGATCTTGTTCCTTTTAAGGATTTCACCTTAGGAAATAGATAGAAGTCGCACGGCGCAAGATCTGGCGAATAAGGCGGATGGTCTAACACTGGGATGCTGAACTTGGCTAGAAACCTCTTGACAGACAATGCGGAATGAGCCGGCGCATTGTCTTGGTGGAGAACCCATGACTTGTCCTTCCACAATTCGGGTCGTTATCAATTCGTACAGTTTCAGCAATCGCACGAATATTTAACCGACGGTCAGATCGAATCAGATTACCGATTTTTTCGATATTGTCATCCGTTTTTGACGTGGAAGGGCGACCCGGGCGTGAATCATCTTGAACGTCTTCTCGGCCATCTTGAAAACGCTTAAACCACTCAAAAACACGTGCGCGCGATAAACATTCATTGCCATATACTTCTTTCAATAAATTATATGTTTCAGTAGCAGTTTTTCCAAGTTTCATGTGAAATTTCACAACAATTCGTTGCTCTACTGTTACACTTAACATTTTTCCGGCGAAACAAAAAAACAACTCTAATGCGAATGAAGGCTACGGCTATATTGATTTGTTTACAGAAGCGAGAGGCACTGCATTCGAAAGAGAAGGCTTCACGATAACAGCTGTGGCTTGCTGGCGTTTGGCGCATGCGCACTTCTTCTGTAGCAGCGTCAGTCTCGTTATTTAATAGCCACACCTCGTACATGTTATGTACATGTATAAAAGTGTTTTATTATAACATTAAGTATAAGTGAAACTAAAAGATATTTAGGACTAAGACACAAAATTACAGCACATCACATAGTATAGTCATAAACTAAAAAATTCACTTTCTTATTCTTATTAATAAGGATTTATATTCATTATTAAATTATTCTATTAATAATAAAACTTAATATATATAATATATAATAATATATAATAATATAATATATAATTATATATATAATAATATTGCGAAGGCTGAGATCACAAAATTACAGCATATCACATAGTGCAGTCAAAAACTAAAATAATTGGCTTTTTTATTCTTATTAATAATGACTATATTCCTTATTAAATTATCTTATTAATAATGAAACTTAATTATATATGTATATCTTAATTAATGAAACCTTAGTAATATATGAATAAATTGTAAATTATATTAATTCGAAAAACTGAAAAATTAAATTTAAATTATTACACTGCAAATTAGTTTGATAAACTAATGAAATAATCAATAAAAAGTAAATGCAACAGATATAAATCTCAAAAAGTATCAACATATATATATAACACAAAAATGTTGGTATGTAAGTAATAATTACTTATTACAAAATCCAGTAAGCGTTTCTATTAATTTTTTTCCCATCTCCATTCTTTCATCATGTCGCTTTTGTCGTTTCACTTCATGCTCTTCTTTTTGTTGTAGTCTTTCTTGAAAAAGGCTCATTGCAGATTTTCGTGTAGTTGTTATATCTATAAAATCGATTAACGAATCAAGTATTAAAACTGTATATTAACACATATTAATAAATGAAATAAAAGAAGTAAAATGTATCTAGCTGTTTTTGAATAGCTATACTTATTATTTATAATTGAAGATCTGTATTATCACAACTACATTTGTTCCTTGTACTATTTAGTCCAAGGCATAGTGAAATGTAAAACAATTTAGATGCCTTGACATCTAAAGCATAACTGATAGTTCAATAAAAGAATTTATTTTTCATTAATTTTTCTCTCAGACCATCAATTACATTCTAAATATCGATAATAGGTACGTTCAAAATTAAAGAAATGGTAATCTTATAAATATTAATAAATATTAAAAGATACAAATATATTAAATATGTTTGTGTATATATACAATGTAATAGATAAAGATGTAAGAAAATGTGCAATTAGTAAATTATTTTATCGTTAACCAGAGAAAATCTAACTGAGTCATCTAAAATATTTGAATATTAATTATCAAAATTAATAATATTTCAACCATTTTGCATTATATTATTATTAACCAATTATATAAAAACTTGACTTACTCTTCTGCAATAACTTATTTTCTTTATTTTCTGAATTATCAAAGGAGTCAAGATTGCTACATGACATCTTCGAAGACAATTCTGTAGAATTTATGCTTGTATTTTTTACAGACAATCCTGTAGACGAAGCAAGTGCTATAGGGTTACACCAAACTTTTTTAGCAAAAATGTCTTCCATTATCTGTATATATAAACAAATATATCACAGTATTTGTTATAAAAATGTGTACATAATAAACTAAAAAAAAAGATTTACCATTTTACAAAAAAAAAAAAAAAAAAAAAAAA